AAGTACTTGCTATTGCTATGCACATGTTATGTATATACACACACATATATATATAAGTACTTGCTATCGCTATGCACATGTTATGTCATATATATATATATATATATATATATATAAGTACTTGCTATTGCTATGCACATGTTATGTCAAGTACTTGCTTTTGCTATGCGCCAGAGAGTGGACTCAGTGGGACCCAACCCAACTCAACCCAACACAACACACAGGGTGTGTTGGTAGTCACCGCACGGGGACGTATATTGATACCAACTCTCCTATAAAGTCTCGCGCGGTGCAATGTGGGTAGGTATTCGGGAGAGCGCTATAGTAATGCATATATTGCTACAGTCTCTTCTTTAGTGGTCTATTGCATGTATCGCATGTAGGTAGGCGTTCGGGAGAGCGTCATAGCACGAGCATCTGTTGCTATAGTCTCCTTATAGATCTAATGCAAGTGAGTGTTCGACATAACGTTTTCCTAATGATGACTGTTCACCTAGCCTCTGACTACCCATCCCAATCCCTCTGCACGCGTGTCACCGCCTTCTTCCAATACGTTTCAGATCCACCTACTCTTCTTGCCGCAGCGCTTAAACGTATTCCGCTTGCACACATTCACTTCCCCATCTGGCGTACACGACATAGACAGCGGCGGATGGGCCCCATCAGTGCACTCTCGTCCGTTAACGCAATCGTTGCTAAGATGTGCGCGACAGATGTTGAGGCTGGCGTCAATGTCCGGCGAAAACTGTGAGGGCGAGAGGGTGTGGGAGGGGTTCAGGTACGTTCTATAAATAGGCACACACGTGACTTTGCTGAAAATGTCTTTGGAAAAGCTATGTAAACTATAGATAGTATATAAACATTGGAGAGGCAATATCTGCAGTATGCCGTGATCGTGAATAGACGAAAGAGTGTGGAGTGCGGAGTTATCATGTAATAAGCTAGGCAGGAGTTAGTGGGTAGGCGATAGCGTCGTACGAGGGCTAAGAGAATGAAGCGTGACAAGTGGTAGATTCCGTACTCATCTATAAAATAAAGACACCGACACGCATATATATATATATATATATATATATAAATATATATACATATACATATACACATAGGCACACACATACAAACACACACATACACACATATA